CACAGTGCCGCTTGTGTTGGGGTTGCCCGTGTGGCATGCGGAGATGCTCTCATTGGATCAGCGTAATCTCGGTCAATTCAGTGTCAACGCCGCTGTCCGCATGCTATTTAATCCGGCTCGGCTCTTCGTTTAATATTCGACGTTGCAAATGTTTTACTCTGTTCATATTTCAAAAAATGTTTTTGTTTGTTTGTTCGTTTTGGTACACTTTGTATGGTTCCAACATCTGTGCTGCCTAATGACTGGAATGTTTTCATTTTCCTCCCACCGGACACCTTTTGATTCCTTCCTTTGACTGCGAGTTGTTATTGTTGTTGTTGTTGTCATCCTGTGAACATTTTCATAGTAATCCCGCTCATTCTTACCGTCATCCTCTCTTCTCTTATCCCCCCCTCCCTCCTCGCTTGCCAGCGGATGAAACACAGAACACGGTTTCTCATTATCAGCCGTGACTCCTCCCTCTTTGACTGCCGCCGTTCCTCCTCTCCCTCCCCGGTGTGTGTGAAGAGCTCGGCAGTAGTGTGCATTAATCCCGGATTGCGCTGCCCTGCCGTCTGCATCCCGTCATTGCTGAGCGAGCATGGCACGGCTCCAGGACCCCTGCACTCGCGCGGGAGACGACGAGTGAGCCTCCCAGACAGTTGGGAAGGCGCACCACTGCCACAGCTTTTAGAACTCTCTCACAGAATTGAGCAAGAGGTGACGGAAGAGATTAAAAAGAGGGGGTAGGGGGGTGGGTGGGGGGAAGACGGAACCATGCCGGCCGGCGCATCACAGCTGAGGGCGCCAGTGTGAAAGAAGAAAGAGGCGACCTCGGGTCACACTTTGCCCATCTCGCTCCTCTCTCGCACGTGAGGGATTAAAGTTTTTCTTCTTCTCCGCTTATCTACCGTTGGCACGGGTGTCGTCACTCGTGCGTGTGTGCGTGCATGTGTGTGTCATGGAGTCTCCTACCAAAGAGATTGAGGAGTTTGAAAGCACAGCCCTTCAGTACCTACAGCCGGAACAAATTGAGAAGATTTGGCTCAGGCTCAGAGGATTGTGAGTACAACCACTTTTACTCTTGTCAACAAGTGTGTGTGTGTGTTTGTTTGTGTGTGTGTGTGTGTGTGTGTGTGTGTGTGTGTGTGTGTGTGTGTGTGTGTGTGTGTGTGTGTGTGTGAGCGCGTGTCAGGTGTGTTTGAATAATGCCAGACGGAGCTCACGAATCGTAACAAACAATTGTGATGAATAACCGAGTGTGTTTAGGGTGACGCACCATAGGTAGTTTAGGAAAAAGCTCGGAAACGTTGACGTGTTTTTATCGCTGGTCTGTGACGCTTAAACCTGCGGGAGGTTGAGCGAGCCACATATCTCGGATAGTCTCCTTAACCCTGAATCACATTAAAAATCCTCTGTTCCATTTCACGCACTCATCATTCCACCTGTGAAGCCAGGCAATTCGTGGCATATCCTCTCGCGTCTTGTTGCCACGAATTTTCACAAACCGGGCATAGTAAAACGTATGCTAGTTTTAAAAAAAACATGACAATATGCATGCACGCGAGCACATAGTTTTTACAAAGGCAGCGGGAGCAAAACTGAGCTCGGTTTTCCTTTATTACATTTAACAATGTCATGAAAATATGGAAATTAAATGCGTGACAGCGTCAATTTCTGCTGAGGCGAAACTTGAGACGGTTGTTCTGGCATTGCGGAATGCGCTTAAACCATCTCTGTTAGGGCTGCGAGACCCCTTCTGAATGAGATAAACTGCACACGCGAAAGGGCACACGTAGCGAGCGTCGGATGTTCAACTTCAAATCCCGTTTTTTTTCTTCCTGCGATTCCCTCACAGACAACTGTCATCCTAACTTGAGAGCTGCAAAACCTTTCCATCTTGGTGCCCTTGCCACAAAACGGCAACAAAGACCAAAGCCAGCTTTAAGAGGCAGGGTGACAAGGCGCTCATGAAGGTCCGCTTTCCTGCTGAGCAGAATCAGGATCGTCAGCCACTCTCCTGTTGCGCAAGGGTGACGCAGGAAGTATGAGTGACTGCCTGCTCGCTTCGCCCTCCTCTCCTTTTTGTGCCATTTTCTCTTTTGATGACACATAAAAGTGGAGACCTCAAAGCGTTGACGTTTTTACAAGATATTTTAAAACCCATTCCTGTTTGCCAACCAATCGACACCTTTCCTGGCTCCCAGAACTCGCCGTCATTCTCTCCGCCCAAGATGAAGTGGCAATTAGCTTTTAATGCGCCGCGAGTTCTCGTCACTGCGACCCACAAACGGGGAATGTTAAGCTTTTGTCATGCTACCGTGGCCTTGTCCTCAAGAGTTATCACGCTATTATTAAGGTTGGTTGCTTATGCTACTTTATTGCCATTCTGTGGTCAATTCCTTATTTCCTTTCAGCGCCCTCCATCATCCGCTGCCACGTTGAGTTTTCTTGGTCGACTTCCGTTTTGTCGCCGTCCTATATTTGCCATTACAACTGTCTGTCCTGTCCAGATGTTTGACACTGGATGGTCGGCCCCGATGATAATCCGCGTGGGTCCTCGGAGTGTTCCGGAGGCGCGTCAGACATCACAATAGTCTCTTGTCTGACGTAAGGGCGCTCCAGATGTTGACGAGGCGTCAGTGGACTCGATGCACATGTGGACAGCAGTGTTATTGTTGAAACCACATAAACCAAGACAAGAGTCTAGAACAAGACCACCACTGAGAGACACAGCCTGACAATTTGCTATTTTTGGTTACGGCTGATCTTAATATAGCCCAGTTCCCCAATGTTTGAGTCTGACACACGAACGAGTTCAACGATAATTGATTCAGAGCCCAAAGTGGTCTTTAAAGGAGACATATTGCGTCTTTTCCCCTAAGTATCCCTATAAGTAGCTTTTTGTCAAAATACCACAAGAATAAATTAATACACACATTTTTTTTTTTTTAACTCCGGCAGTCAACTGAGCTGTTTTGAGTTATCCGTCCTATCTTAACGCTTTTAAAATTCTCTCATAGAGTCCTATCTTACGCTGGCCCCTCAACGACAGGGCTAGTGCCAAGTACAGCTTTCATGACAAGGACGACCAAGGGCAGAGCTATGGGGTTACGACAATTTATTACTCGAAAGCAATTGCGTTGTCAGCTGTGGAGGAACTGCTTGATCACCAAGCTGCTGTATAACCAGTACATTCCGTGCCCGGGGCGGATGCAGCGGACACATTCCCAAATACATAAAATTGAACCGAACATTGAAGTATGTGCAAGATTCTCACACAGGCGCTGATTTTGGCCATAAATCACTGTCGGACACTCATTACGCAGACTCGCTAACGTCATCCACTACCCCACTAAGCCCCGCCTCCTAAAGGCACATGTACACTGACACTCAAGTACTTAGAGTACTTTGTATGAGCTTGCATTTTTTTTTCTTTCTTCAAATACATTTACATTGTGTTTAACAAGTGTGTCTTAAGTTAAAATGTAAATTGAAAAGAAGTTACAATTAAATTTCACCCAATGGCGTGAGGGTATCCTCCACAAGAAACACGTTGTTCACTGCGCCAGCAATTGAAAGGTCAATTTGACTTTATATGTCTCCTTTAAGTCCAAGGCTCATCTCAACACTTGTGGCAGTGTGTCTGTTTTGTCATGTCTCGATGGCGACGCGGTGACATTTACTGTATGCGCCGTAAGCTGCCATACGACGACGTGATTGGCACGCCTGTCATGACACCGAGTGTCCCAGAGGGCGCAACAATCACCCGTCGATGGTGAGCGCGTTGGCTTTCGACACTTTTTCTCCACAGTCAATTACAGCGTCCCCAAAGAGCACGTTGTGCTTTACTACTCCACTATACCTTCCCCCCCGATTGACAAATAGCTCCTTTATGCTTCTGCATTGTTTCCAATGGATTTCCATAAATAAATTAATTTAGACGTCTGCCACGGATCGACCTCGCTGTCGCCTCCCCTGATTAAAGGAAACGAATGGGTTATTTAATCACTTCATCAAGAGTTCATCGCGGAAGGCTCCCTGAAGATAGAGGCGACTTTTGCTCTAGGTGGAGACCACCGGATGACAGCGTCAAATAATAATTTGCTTACCCCCCAAAAAATACGCCCAAAACATACTCATGACTTAAGATGAAATGTGTAAGTCCAGTCATTGGTGGGATTTCAACCCACATTTTGAAACTCAATGAGAAGGTTGAAGGCCGGGATGGTCATTTTATTTCTTCCCCTTCTTTGAGTATTATTTGACCTCTGTCACAACTCAAATAGGCTTCACCACCATAAACACAACAGGGACCGTACTTTCATCCCTGTCGTTTCAATCGCTGGCCGCAGGCCAGATAAGAGACCATTTTTTTTTCTTTCCTGTGGAGTTTCTCAGCTCCAGGATGAAGCGCTACCTTGAAGGATTGAGAAACAAATCACACTAAGTGCCGTCAATTGTGCCCGAGCTGCATTTCAATTCAAGCCCACATGTTTTTTGGACTGAAGTGGGACCCCCCCACCCCCTGCACTCGCCGATGACAAGTGCCTTACGTGTGTGTATGGCTTCGGCTTTTAGAGGCACCGCTGTAGGCACCTGGCGAAGGCGTGGGTGTTTGTTTTCGGGCCAAATGTTAGCGTAAGTGATAGTAGGTGTGTGTGGGCTCCCCGTTGTATGAAAGTAGGCAAGATGTTAGAGGGTGGAGTGGATGTGTGCACGCGTTTGTGTGAGCGAATACTCATGTTTTATTCATGCCATTCTCCTAAATTATCTGCCTAAGTAATTGCACTGTCGTTGAGTTTACTGTGTCTACTTGACAAGCTGATGCTATTTCGGTGATATCGATAAATTACTCGCAATAAATGTCACACGAAATTGCTTTTGTAATCTTAGCATTAACCCCCATTTGAAGTTTGTTGATTATTGCATTGTCATATCGATATTGTTCTCATTTGCCTTAAGTAGAGGTACACGTTTCAGTCAATCCAAATCTAATTTGGTGTTTATATCTCTGGCAGGCGCAAGTACAAGAAGACGTCCCAGAGGTAAGACTTGACGACGGAGCATTGGAATACCATCATCGCATTCTAGACGATTTGCCCTCCATCACTTTATTACCAAAGAATATCGAAGCCACCAGAGAAAATATATGACTATAGATGCAACATTATAGGCATAAAGTCAATATTTTAGATTTGAATAAAATTGTAGTGTCGTCCATCAAAATAAAAAGCTTTTAATCCACCTATTTTCTTTCGCTTAACCGGAGTCGGGTGACGGGGCAGCAACTTCAGCAGGGAAGGCCACACTTCTCTCTCTCCACCCAGTTTGTCCAGTACTTCTGGGGGATCCCGAAACGTCCCCAGGCCGGCCCGAAAAGGCTCTCCGGCCTGTCCTGGGGTAGCCCCTGGGCCTCCCTATTGGTGGATGTGCCCGTAACACCACCAGGGAGCATCTTAAACAGATAATCGAGCCACCTCATCTGGGTCCTCTGTAACTGAGGGAAAGAAATGGGGGGGAGGAAATGTCCCTATTCCGTAGCACTCCATGATTGCAACAAGTGCAGTTAGAATAAAAAAGGGCCACGACATGTTTACCTGCATACTGCGTGGCGTTTGTTTGCTCTTCCCATTCTTGCTTTGACCACCACAGATTGAGTATTCGTGCCGGGTTGTTACCTGAGTCAAATATATCCTATCACACTTGTATGAATGCTGAATCACTTTGTCTTAACCTACCCCCTTGTCTCCATTCAACACCCCATTGTGATGGATGGCTCCTTGTTGGGCAGACATTCAAGAGACCGTATTTATCTGTGAGTCGAACAACCTCACTCATCCGTGACAAATAACTCTCATGCCACATTATCGACGCCGGGATGAAACGATCATTTATTTGCCCCCTGTTGGACATGCCCGGGGGGAAATCGGGCCCTCTATTAACTTGACTTAAATGCATTGTGTTACAAGCACAATTGTGAAGGCTTTAATTAATGCCACAGAATGAGCGGGTAATGATATGTAAGTGTCATTTATCAGGGCTGTCTTTTTTATTGATTACAAACATGCCATCGGTGGCCATTATTCTTTTATTTTCGCTCAGGAACACAACTTCATGTCGGGCAAAGCATGCACACAGTTGTTAGGATATTCGGAGGTTTTGGCATTACACTTAAAAGCTTGTTCCACTCATTTCAGTGGAGAACGATGATTTCAAATACGAATGTTTTTGAGTTACAGGCATGGTCATGGAACAGAGTAGACGCGTATCCCAAGTCACCCATGCTTGGCCATCGTATGTGGAGTTACCAACTTATATTGTACATAGCATAACCATCCGACTGATATTCCGTTGTTGTTTTGCTCCTGTTACAAATTGAATCTGCTGCCGGCTGCCATCTGTGGAGTGCGTTGGCACAAAACTCATTAAGCGAGTAAACAGGACATCGCAAGCAGCCCATATAGCTGGTGGCTGCAAACAAACCAAGGTTTACGAGGCAGGGCACCACTCCGATTTCAAGGCGAGCCGTGGGATTGCTCGCGCCGTTAAGAGTAATTGAGCGACGCGGTGCTGGTCGGCACGGTCTGTGGTCTCACTCTCTCTCTCTTGGTGGCGGGAGGGGCGCGTGGTCGAGTTCCTGTGTGGAGGAGCGGCGTGATTGACAGCTCCGCATGTGTCCGTGTAATTACGGCCGGGCTAATTGGCAGAGAGGAACACTGGGACATTGTCATTACTGACACACCAGGAAAGCCTCTCATGGAGACGTAGAAAGAGAAAGAGAGAACGAGAGAGAGCACTTCTTGCAGCGATGGAAAGAAAGAGATGATGATTTGTGCAGGGTTCTATGTGGGTTGGGCGTTGGTGGAACAGAAACTGTTTATCGGTTGCTATTTTGGATCGCATTTGATCTCATGGTCACTGTTATTGTCATATGGGTTTATTATTTAACAGTTTTCAAAGCCCACGGTAATTTGTGCAATGCAGACCATGGCAGTCGAGTACAGTGCATAGTTATTATTTTTATTTATGTTTTTGCCCTTTATGAATCTAGATGAGGCTATTGAGACTGTCAGATCTACAGTATGTCCCGCTGAGCGAAAAAGACGCTTTCTCATTGAGGCCGCTTTTATCCTGTCTGGAGGAAATCAAGACTTGGATGGCGCTAAATTTCTTGACGTCTCACTCAACGTAGGGCAAGCCCCCTGGCTGCCCATCTTTAGAACTCATCTGATAACTCATTTTTATTCTTTGGCTTTTGACAGTGCATGAGACTTGATTTTTTTATGTTCATGGGGCTGAATAGAAGCAGCCTTTCCATTGACTATGTATGGAAACGCTTCGCTGTTAACCGCTGTTGATCGTTAAAAACTTCCTGCAGTAAAAGAAGCAAAAGGGATAAAACAAATACAACCCCAAAAGTACTTTAAAATGCAGTCTGTCTGTACGTGGTCGAAAACGTCCATGAACAAGCTGAAACGGGTCGTCAAATCGAACAAATGACTGATGGTTAAAAGGTGTTATTTAATTTTTTTTAAATTGCCTTTCAGATTTTATATTGGCGATAGTCTGGAGAAAAATGTTGCTCTCTATTCACCAGTTTGCCATAAACAGAGTGAACCTTTTTCAAGAGATTTTCCCACCAGTCAACTTTGTGAATGGTTTTCTTTGAATGCTGCACACCAAACGACACGGTCGGTATGCTTTCAATAAAAGTGTTTTGACAGTACAGCCATGTTAGCTTGCAACTTGTGAGAGGGGTTTTGTATCTGCTCAGCCAGCCTCCACTGGGCTGCCAATGTCATTTCACAGTAGTGACAACTTTTTTTTTTTTTTAAACAGAGGCAGTCGTGACTCTGCTCTCTGGCATTTCCAGTCGGCCTCACTCCATCTTTGTAATTATGACTACGCGGGCAGCGATATATTGAGACGTGGAGGTGTGCGTTTCAGCGTGTGATTTTGTCTTTGACATTTGAGCCGACGCAATTGCGTCCGTGTCAAGTAGCGTTGAAACAAATGAAGTCAAACGCCTTTCAAACAAAGTCAGATTGCAAGCCACGTTTTCATTTTGATAGATTTATTTCCACTTCGATGCCCAATAGCGATGCTAATAATGTAGTCTGAAGGTCCAGTCACAAAATAATCTATCTAATGAAGTGATTCCCAACCTCGATTGAGCCAAGGCAAAATATTTTCCATTAGAAACAATCTCATGACAAATCAGATATGAAAGTTTAAATTGGCAAGTGCAATGTGTTATTTCCAATCAAAAAAATACTAACACCTACTTTCTCTCTCTCGCTGTGGCAAATGTTTACACTGGATGACTAACATTTGTTTACTTATTATTAAAGACCACATAATTAGTTTTAGAGAAAAAGAGAGGCTTCTTGTTCACCTTCAGAAAAACGTTCATGTTGTGAATTATTATTACCAAAGATTGAGAAGTTTGGATTAGTTGTTCTGTTTTTGAATCCTTTTTAGTGGAATACTTGATGCGACCCAGTCACACCCAGACTCTATCTCTCGTGGTCTTCAATATAGGCATGTTAGCTTGCAACTTGTGAGGTGCGGTATTGTATCTGCTCAGCCTCCTTGGTTAGAGCAAAGAAAAATTGTTTCATCAGCAACGAGTATTAATTGTAATTTTCCCGATGTATTTGCGATATCGTTAAGGTAGATAAGAAAAAATTTCGGACCCAACACTGAACCTTGGAGGACACCGCATTTTTTTGGTCAATCATTGGCAGTACTGTCACCTATTTCTAAGCTGGCATACGCCGCTGCGCATTCAAGTTGCCTGTTCTGCACAATGTGAAGAAAAACCTTTAAAAAAAAAAAAAGCAACTTTTATTTCACCATGGAGCATTTCGCTTTTCAGCATGCGATTAGTATATAAATAGCAACACGAGAGCACAATGAATAAATCAAGACGTTGACAGGGACGAGTGACGGGAGAGCAGGAAAGCAACTCGCTGGGGAGAATTGAACTCTGGCTAATGTCAGTAATCAGGCAGAAAATCTTGCAGGCATTGGCTGCCTTCAAGAGCAGCCCATTAGATGCTATTACCCAATGCCTCTTGTGTCTCCTCGCCATTCGTCAGTCACCGCAGCTACCGAGGCTATTTACTGGAGAGCATTCATTAATACTGCCATGCTGTCTTGATTTCGTTCTCTCGTTAGAATTAGCTGGCAGCACCGGCCAATGCCGCAATTGTCGTAAAGCAAATAAGCGCTTACCGTCAATTACTTGTGTGATAGACGATGATACGCACTATTAACTAATGAGAGAATTCACATGATGCGTTATGTTTTTTGAAAAGTAATCAGCCTCTGCCAACTCGGCTGGATGACGTACCTTGAGTTACGTTTAATTTCTTCCATGATCATGCTCGAGTCATAACTGCAAATACTCATATCCCAAATCATGTTTTCCCATTGAAGCGAATGGTAATATCCCTAATCCGTTCCAGCATTAACCTAAAAACACAAAAATTTATTGTAATGTGTATTTTAGTGGAGAGAAATAGCACCCCATTATATTGTACTTTCTAAAATACACAAACTAATACAGTAATTACATATTTAAATTGAATATTTCAATGTAAACCAAACCAGTCTTTGACACGCCTACATCAGTTGGATGGCCATTACCCAGACTCGTTCTGGTGTTCCCATAGACTGTTGACGAAAATGCCTCAATTTATAAGCTGCTGTTTTGATTTATATTTTTGAAAGCGAGGTTCCCCAAGCAGGACAAGTTAGCAACTGCATCCTTGGAAAATGTGAGACTGTGATGCCACATTTTAGGCCATTGGAAATTATTATAAAATATTAAAGACACCAGTGTGTCATTTATTCTCCTGTTCTATAAATTGCATGTGAGGCGCAATCTAGAAGGAAAACCAGTTAAGGAAGCTCAAGACCTCAATTTCAGCCATGACTGACATTGTCCTTTCTGCAATTGTGCTAATAAATAATGGAAGTGTTTGGGTCTTTCACTGAGTCCACATTTTATTTTCAGCCTATGCGTAATGCTCTTACACCA